ATATAGATGGCAAATTTCAACAAAAATAAAAGTTTTAATATCAATCACATTAAGTTTTTGAGAAATAATAAATGTCAATCTAAATCAAATTACAAGACAACAAAATTAACAGGCAATTTCCAGTTACTGGTTGTTAAATTTAATACTTTTTTTATGGTAAGAAAAGTTTTCCACATAACTGAAATATTAATCTCTAGGACTAAAAAGTCTTCCTATTCTTAATCTTAGATTTTAAAATTCAAAACAACTATCAAAGTTTATTAATATATCAATAAGAATTGTTTTTTTTAATCAAGGCAAAAACAATTAGCAAGTAACAATGTTTATCAATAAAATAAATTAAAATGTTTCAGTATAAATTAATTATATAATATTTTAGCCATCATAGTAATAAATATAATGATTAATAAATGATTGATGCCTGACAACAAACATTAAGTTTACAATTGTAGTCTTTTAAATTTTTGGAAAGATACCAAAACAGATAAAATCAATTTCATACTTGGATTATAAGAGAAGTATAAACAGTTACAAATTATTTATTATCTAGATGATATATTAATTTAGAAACTAATAAGAAAATATTACCTTGGATCACTTGTCCAATTCCAACCTGAAAGGAAAATGGTTTCTGACCAGGATCTTTAGTACTAATATAGAAAAAGATTGAATAGAAATTTTTTAATTGTCATTTAATCATTTGGGATAAAAAAAAATTACAATGTCTTTACAAGATTAAGCTGTCAATAAAATATATGTGATACAAGTAAATTCAGAGAAAATAACATAATCCCAATTTAGAGTGCTTTTTTAAAGATAAATTGTTTAAGAATAAACCTGCCTTAATATTTACAATACTGTTATAATTAAGGTTAGGAACACAGGCAGGTTGTTCACAATTGAAGCCAGAGGTTTGTAAAATGATGTTTTTAAGATTAAAGTTAAAATAACTAAACTAAAAACCATTTTGACAAAATGCTGAATATGAAATATTTAAAGACCTGAGGTTTTGCTGCTACTCATCAATTACAAATGTTTTTTTGAAAATGATGAAGAAAATACTAGTTCAGTGGTCACTAGTGATAACTGAATCTGTTTTATGATAGTTTGTTTCATTTTAAAAGAATAATTAATTTTCTGTAGTTCAAACATAATCATATAACAAGAAGTAGACACATAAAGTGAAAGATCTCTATATTATACTAATTTCTATGAAACAGTTTAAAAGTTAAACCTGTTAGAAACAGAGGGGTGTCACTGATTAGTTAAAACTTAAGAAACAAACAGTAATGCATTAAATTTACAATATAAATTACCAATGTTCATGTTATTCAAGAAGCGAAAGAGAAAATAAAACAATTTCACAAAACAAAAAAAAACCTATATGTCACCACATACTACTAAACAAAATTCTAAATATACTGTAAAGAAAATTTCAAATTTTCTGATAGATACATAGTAAATTCTCAAAGAGAAAGAGAAAATAAAACAATTTCACAAAACAAAAAAAATTCTATATGTCACCACATACTACTAAACAAAATTCTAAATATACTGTAAAGAAAATTTCAAATTTTCTGATAGTTACATAGTAAATTCTCAAAAATCGTATGTAATCTTATTCAAATATACTTTATTTTTATGATATTAAGCCAGGACTAAAAGTAATGTTATATTATCCGTGAAATACTCTGCACAACTAGAAACAATGGGTAAACTGTTTTGTTTGTGCACATTTTACAAATACCAAGAATTTGGAGGCACATTTGATTATTAATGTTATAATAATTAATAGTGCAACATTATTATTTAGACCAGACCTTGAAATTACTGATAAAAGTTAATTCTTTTTATTATCTACCAAAACATAAAGAATGTTTTAATAGACTATTAAAATTAAATAACTAGAAGTAATAATGAGTTATATTTTATTTGTTTCATGATATAATCATTTGCAATACTAAGAACAGGTATAACTTTTAAGTAGGACAATTCAGTTAATTAAATCCAGCAGGAAAACCAAACACAAAACATATTACGACAACTAACTTATGTAGCTCTTTATTCTCACCTCCAGAACTTTTTAGATGGATTTATTAGGAAACCTGTACAATGTACAGTAACTGTATCCCCTGGTTTAGGACGACCTCCAGATCCTGGAATCAAAATCTCCTTGGTAACACCATCACTTACTTGTTCTACTGCCATGATTGCTTTTCACTTACATATCAAAAAGACACATTGATTGCATAAGATACTTACACTATATAATAAAGATTTTCTACACATACAAATACTGGAGGATAGGTTAATAATCACAACAAATAACCAATAAGTTATGTAAAAGTTTTTCTTCTCTTCCAAGATTTCCTTTAAAATTAGTAATTATAAGAAAGTTTTTTACCACCTTTGATCTTTGGTAACTAAAAATCTACCAAATATCAAACTACTAAATAATAGCTTAATGTAGAGTTTAGTTAAATTGCAAATCTTTCACTGCAGATGTCTAAAACAATTATGGTGCCACAGTTTAAATACACTTTATGAAGTTCACTTGTCCAAGGAGTGGGTTTTATTTGGGAATTCAGGACTAGAATTCAGATTTAAGGAGCCTAATATTGAAAAGGTACAATCTGTAAATAGAATTTGTAGGTTGGAGGAGAAACTGGAGGCTATCCTAAATAGGAAAGAGGTAATGGATAAAGAGAATGGTAAACTGTAAGAAATTACAACAGGATTTAAAGTAGAAATTAAGCTTTTGCATGTGAAGGATAGAATGGCTAATGATGACTTTCAGGAAGTTAAAAACAATACTAACAGAGCTAAGTAGTATTAGAATTAATTATAATGTGCAGGTTCTAATAAGTAACAGATTTCAGTTTTTAGCTTGTGCAGATGAGGAACTAGGGAAGTAAAGGATAAAAAAAAGGGACAGATAAGGACAGGAATGAACAATATAAGAAGGTTATTGCCATTGGTGACTGTTTAGTCCAGCAAGTGGATAGGATAGTCTGTGGGGTAAATAGGGAGAAAAGAATTAGATTATACTATGCAAGGGTAGGAGATAAAACTGACAGAGCAAGTGATATAAAAAAGGGTACTAGTAGTGATGCAGTATATTTAATACAAATAGGGGATAATGATGTCAGGAATGGTAAGTCAAAGGAACTAAGTAATAAGTATAAGGGATAGATAAAGGCATTCAAAGAAAAGGATCATAATAATTAAATTCTGTCAGGGATACTGCAAAGACATAGATAGCTTTAAGCTAGGTCTAGACAATGATGAAAGCCAGAATAAAAAAGAAAATGTTGAGAAAATTACACTGTGGGAATAAAGTTCAAAATGATTTTGTTACTATTGTGATGCTAGAAGCATAAGGAATAAAAATAGATAACTTTAGAGCATTGGTTGGAACAAAAACATTTGATGTAATGGGAATAACTGAAACCTTGTTAAAAGTACAGTTTTAATTACAGACATTTCTTTGAAATACAGGGTTATAGGTTGTTTCATAGGAATAGAGTAAAAAAAAAGGGGTTGGTGGTTTTATATCTAAAATGCGAGTTATATCCTATTCAATTTGAGGATATCAAACCTAACAGCAGAAAGATTGGCTCTTTCTGGGTTTCTGTTAGTGATTATAATTTGAAAGGGGAGAAAGAACATAGTTGAAATTTGTTGCAGACCACCAGATGAAACTGATGAAATTAATGATAAACTCTAAGTGAGATAAAGAATTAATTTGTTGATGATATAATTATGGTAGATATTAATTTCTGACATACACACTGGAAAATTTTGGAGTCAAATGAGGAGGAAGACAAGGTTTCAGAAACTGTTCAGGATGGTTTTTTTCCCCAATTGGTTAGGGAACTTACTAGAAATTTCTAATACAAAAATGGTTGACAGGGTAGAGATTGGGGTGCAAGTGATCATTGCTTAGTTAGATGTAAGGTTTTGCTGCATATGGATATAAGGAATAATGAGATTTTAGTTCCAAATTAAAAAAAACAACAAATTTTGATAAGATGAGACAAGAATCTACTGTAAATTGGGCAACTGAATTAATTAGATATTGATCAAATGTGAAAAATGTATTTAAATAAATTCTTAAATATTTGAGATAGGCATATTCCTCATAGAATAAAAAAACAGTAGCTGCAAGTAAAAAAACCAGGTTGGTTTACAAAGCATATAAATGATAAAATTAAAGAGAAGCATTAAAAATATAATAAATTTAAATTGATTGCCACAATGAGAGATTTGTAGGATTATAGATCAAAAGAAATTGACAAATGGTAAATTAGGATATTAAAAAAGGTTGGCTGATAAAATAAAAATTAATAACAAGGACTTATTTAGATAGGTTAAGTGTAAGTAAAATGTTAGGATGGGAGGCCATGACAGAATAACATCTTAGAAATGTTTTCATTTACAACAAAGACAAATGGTTTGGTAAAGGCATCAACAAATGTACACAAAGTATGTCATACAACATAAACTTGTTTTGAGGGGCTTCTGTTACATAAAAATACAAACACATCACCCTGCAAAAAAAAAAAAAAAATACTGCAAAAGCTACAGGTGAAAACATGAGAAAAAGCATTTCTAATAGTATTTAAACATCAGCAGATTCAAATTGTATGGAGTACAAAAATATTTTTACAACATCAATAGTTTTGTGCAACTTTAAAATTAATACTTCATTGTTTTTATAAAGTAATTTCTATTTTACCAGACTTGTAGAAGTTTATAACGAAGTTAATAATATAGCACATCACAATAAATCAACTTACAGCAACACAATATTTTGTTTCTGTTGTCTTTTTTTGTACATTACAATGCTAATTCTAAAAAGAAATATTATTGAAATTTATAATATATTATATCATAATAATATCATAGTATAATATAGCCATTTTCATTTGATAGTTACTACAAAATCCAAATATATATTTATAAATAAATTAAGAGGCATATAGTGAAGTGACAAAAATACATTTAAAATGAATAGTTATACTAATACCATCAAACGTTGAGTGTGAAAAAGCAGTTGGATACCCTTGACATAAACAATTTAAGGACCAACAATATGGCTACCGCGGCTAAGTGTTTGTTTGTAAATTGTAGTTAGGCACAGCTACACAATGGGTTATCTGTGCTCTACCCACCACGAGTATCGAAACCCAATTTCTAGAGATATATACAAGTCCGAAGACATACCGCTGTGCCACTGGTAGGCACCGCTAAGTGTCAATACAAGGATACTACAGAAATAGTAATCCAGCTCATTATACTTATAATTTTACATGTAGATCAGAGGTTTTCTCCACCCCTTGTCAAACTATTATTACTAAAATGATCACCTCTTTGCTTACAAAAATACAAGTTACACTCAAAATCTCTAGGTTTAATTCCTAAAAGTAAGAAGAAATAAAATTTACAAATATTATGTTACTATAATTTATAGAAAGTAAAATTTATACATACCCACGTTACCGGCTTTATAAATTTATCTTTGAAATAGCGCAAAAAAAAAAGGCGGTCGCGCGGCCAAGCGGAAAAGTAAGTAAATTTTAAAAATTCTTATTACATTCTTAGTTAATATTGAAATTTTATCCTGTATTATAATTAAATTCTTTAACTTAGTAAATATAATATTTCATTTATTTTATAATGTTTGGTACGTGAATTTAATTAAAGAAACAGAATGTAGTACACCTATATTTTCATTTGTAAGCTTATTTTTTTTATAATATGCCTAATATAAGTATACTTTATAATACTGTACTTGAAAATCAAACTGATTACATTTATCATAATTTTTATAATTCTTAAATGAGTAGGTTATTCAAGTTTTTCTTCTTTTTATCCCTAGCATGCGTGTTTAAATTTCTCGGGAAAGTTGTACTTTTTGGGTAGAACACAGATATAAAATGCCGTATGTATATGCTTTCTTATTCGCAAACTCCTGAATGACGTCTCTAAAGTCAATTTTGCGAGCAAGCTCACACTCGATTGACCGAATGGCAAAGTTGTTCAATCGATCCTGACATATAGTGCATCGGAGAAAATTTTTGAGGATCTTAAGTTTACTGAAAGCTCTTTCTCCCTAAGTAACAGTTACAGACAGTGTGTAAAAAAATCCTAATAGCGATGCAAAATTTCCCCCAAAATAGTTTGTAATTTCATTTTGTAGATTGCATTCAGTAGGTCCAAAGGCTTTGAACAGTTTTGAAAAGAAGCGCTGCAGATTTTTCTCATATGGTGAACTTTACATCCCAAACTGTTTGTTAGGTCATGCAAATACTTACTGACTCGTTTATCACACGATATATTGATTTCATCAGCACTCACGTAGTCTCTGCACTTTCACTTGTAACATTATTTGCTGTTCCGTCATGAAAGCTCTTGCTTTCTTAGTCGGTTTAATACAAGAGTTACTTCCACTGCATTTGCCACAGTCTTAGCCTCAGAAATAATGGTGTTCCACTCATTTATCAAAAACAACATCTTCTCTTGTAGATCGTTTATGTTGGCTGCTTCTGTGTCTAACGAAATACCTGCAGACTGAAGAAGAAAGTCTTTCTCTTCAAAACTCTGTAGAGCTTTTACCCAGAACGTGGCAGTGAAAGACTTAAAGTAGCTTTTCAGGCTTTTTGCTTCAGACATAGCTTCGTTAAACAGTTTACTAGATTTAGTTATGCTATCTATAGCTGCAATAATGTTGGGAAGGTGCCTTGCAACAGGGCAAATTGCTTCGATTAGAGCGCTCCACAGAGTCTCTCTCAAGTGAAAGCAACTTGTTTTTTCTTTCAAAATAGTCAATTTTTCGGGCAAGATTCTATAGCATGCACTCCAAGTAGATTTAGAGAATGAGAAGCTCAAGGATAATATGTGGCAAATGTTTTTGTTCAAGGATATGAGCTTGTACAACCTTGACTTTTTTTGGACATATTGGCTCAGTTGTCAAAACCTTGTCCTCTGCAATCAGCGATGTCAATGTCATGTTTTTGAAATCCTTGTTGCAGCATTTCTGCAATTTCCTGCCCACTCTTGTTTGCAAAACCAATGAATTCAATAAAACGTTCGTAAATTTTCCATTTTCCGGCTTCCTTATCATTATGCACATACCTCAGGATAAGTGCATTTTGTTCTATATGGGAGATGTCTGAACTATAGTAATATATCAAAGAAAAATAAGTAGATTAATTTCTCTCTGCCACAATTATGTTCAAATCATGCTGACCACATAATTCAATAAATTCGTTCTGACTTTCCAAAGATACATAATGAGCTTAAATTTTTTCTCCCTTTGTTTAACCTTTTGTAAGTGATCACGCAGAAGGGAGTCAGAATGCAATATTAGTTCAAGTATACCCAAGAAATTGCCATTGTGAACATCGTTAGTTGTGGAACTGCTTCCTCGAAATGTCAAATTTCTAGATGCCAGAAATACGGTTACATCCAAAAGCCTCTATAGTAAAGCTTTGTTCTTTTCCGCGTCTCATTGTATTTGCTTCTGAAGCTGGATATCGATCCCTCTACATTGTAAGCCTGATGCAGGTTTTTCGATTTCCAGAAACAATGCTGATGCTGACTACTCCTCTCATGCTCGGGAAGCCTGTCATATAATTTGTGCAACTTGCTAGTTGCCACATCGAACCCTTCTTTTTTGAACAGTGCGCTATAATATTTTGTTTTCTCAAACTCGTTAGAAAATAGCAAACAAGGGATGCAAAATAAAGCTCCTTTACTCTTTCTCCAAGTTAACCAATCTATATTTACCTTCTCACGGCTATGTGCTGATTTTGAATCCAGAAGATACTCAGGAAATGTCCGATCATTAGAATCTAATGGCATAGATTTAGCTAATTTCTTAAGGTCAACATGGCTTGTTTGACAACACTTGATGATATTTTGTCTCTCAAAATGACCTGGGTCATTTGCGTAAAAAAAAAAGTCAGTTGCATCCTTTTGGGGATGCGACTGTTGCCCTTTTTTTCTTTTCTTTTTTTTTTTGCGGTGAGTTAGCAGTGTCAGATTCCAATGGGGAGTTTACGTCTGCTTTGTTAGGCCTACGTCCACCAGCACATTTTTATAAGAACGCGTTGTTTTTCTCTTTATTTATATCAATTACAAAATACTTTAAGACAGGTTTCTTGCTTCTTAGCTCCAATTCGTTATTTTTTTTTCCTTTTTCCTTTTCGCTTTGACAAGCCGGATTTATTACTGTACATGTTTTAAATCAATAAAACGTAATTTTTAAGTAATGAGTGAGCACTAGCATAAAGCATAAGTGATAAAGGTACGTACACGTGATGTCTGTTTGCGAGCTCACGAGTAAACCATCTCTGGGGAGGGAAGAGGAGGGGGCATTTAAAAAGCTTATGGTATTTTAAATGCAAAAAATGTTAGTGTACATTATGAAAATATTTCCAGGACTTATAAGGAAATGTGTTGTGGTAATACAATTAAAAAAATAAATAAACAGAGCTCGTCCCCCTTCCCCCCAGGACTTGGGCCCGGGAAAATTGTCTGGGTGACCCTGCTCCTAAATATATGGAGTGAATGGCGTGGGCTTCTTTTATAAGAAAATATAATATCAGATTATTTCAAGTAAACCAAAAATGGGTTAATTAAAATGAAAAAACCTAAATAAATAAATTTGTAAGATTAGTTACAGGATATAAAATATACCTATATCATCATCATCATCGAGTGTCGATTAAAAAGAATGCCTTACAACTCGTTTGTTTGTGGTTAAGTACAAAGCTACACAAAAAGCTAGTTATGCTCTGCCCACCACGGGTATCGAAACCCGGTTTCTAGCGGTGTAAGTCCACAGACATGCCGCTGCGCTACTGGGGGGGGGGGGTGTACGCCGTAGAAAACAATAAGAGATAACAATTTAAAAACATGATTTTGATGGTTTACAAATTCTTAAAAGTTTCAAAGACAAAGAAACTTCAGATCGATAACAGAAAGAAGCGAAGAAAGAAGCCCCGTTTATACCATACTTATTATATTTCACGGATAATGCTTCTAAATGGATTATTTATGATAGACAGACGGTAAAAATGTTCTTAGAAATAAAACCTTGGTGCATTATTGTAAAAATTAACAAATATATAGGTTGTAATAGCATTTTGTAACTAGTTCTACGAGCAGAATAAGTTGCTGAAATTTCGATTTTTGTTCTTCTGGGTGCTACAAATAGATAATATCGTAAAATATTAAATGCCCCTACTTTCCCAGTCTCATTTAGCTATCTAACTTACGTTGATGTGGAATCAGATTATTTTCCTCGTTTATTGTCATGTCCACACGCCCCCCCCCCCAGTAGCACAGTGGTAGGTCTGCGGACTTACAACGCTAGAATCCGGGTTTCGATACCCGTGGTGAGAAGAGATAACCCATCGTGTAGCTTTGTGCTTAATTACAAATAAACAAATATTTCCACACGTGATAATATCAAGACGCTAAAACACTACCTTAAAAATTTTGTTAACGGATAAAACAAGTAATGTGTTTTTAAAAATTATTTTCTAAATTAAAAATAAAACATGATGTTTCGCTAGTTTTATCTAGCATCGTTAGGTGGATACGACTGAGTGATGAATCTAACTCAAGTTTCTGGAATACAGTTCCATCAGATGCTGTAGTGGAATAAACAGCAGGACCTTTGGGTCCTTAGCATTTCCAGTTATTGTTGGGTGTTCTGAATAGTTAATGTAAAAAACAAAACAACACCATTTGTGTCTCATGACTAATTTTCTGCTTAAGGAATTTTACAGTGTAAAACTTAACTCTCCCTCCTTTTTGTTGAATGCTAAAGGGTTAAGCTCAGTCAGAAATGTTTTATTTCTATTGACCATCTTGCAAAATGAAAAAATATCAGTTGCTTAGCCAAAAAGAACAGTTCTAATATACACGGGAAGACAACTAAAAAAAAAAAAGAAAAAAGAGATGGACCAGGAACCGAAAACCCGGGTCTCACAGGAGACATAAATCCTTTTTAAATATCTAAATGTGAATATATATCATTTTAAACACAGAATCTCAGTCTCTAAAGAGTGGACTAGGAATAAATCAAATGCCTAAGACCCGTATATATGCAATTACTGGTGAGAAATAAATAACAGGCAGAAACAAAATAAAGTGAAGTAGGAATAGGCCTTAGGTAAAAACTAAACAGAAACTTCAAATGTTTAAAATACAACCTAAAAACATTGTTTCACAAAAACAGATATTCCCCGGTGTGACAGTGTAATTTTACGAACTAAAGTCCGTGGACACAACAGACAGCCCAATGTGTCTTTGCTATAAAACAAACAAGCGAGTTTACTCAGTCTCATTCTTTATGATTTGTGCTACAAAGTTTGAGTTTATTTTAGAGCAAAGCCATATTGAACTATCTGCTGTATCCATCGCGGGGAATTGAACCCCGGATTTTAGCGTTGTAAATCCATAAACTTACGGCTGTCTAACCGGGGGACCGACACTCTAAACTTCAAAAATCTCATGGACATTGCATTTTATTAATCTACAGTTTGACAAAAAGCATAACGAAAA